ATTAATTAGCATCCTCCAATGATGTGACATGAGCGTTTACGTGCAGAATGGCAATCGGTGAATGGATAATAAAGAATAGGTGCATTTTTTGCTTGTGAAATGAAGGATAATTAACAGTAGTGGGAAAACATGCATGGAGAAAAGAGACATTGTACTCCTTTTATTTTTATTTATTTTTTATTCATATTAGTGAAAATTATTAATATTTGTAGCGACTATATTTACCGTCATTGAATATACAAAATCTCACAAATGTTCTTGGAATATATTTGAATTATATTTCCCAATGCGACTTTACCAACGTAAGAGTTATTTCCCTTACACCCAATTGGATACTATTTTGACACGGCGCGAATTCTTGTCAAACAGCAGCGGCAGTTGTGTCATGTTCTTAAATTGTTACACTTTCATAAATAAATACACCAGAAATAGCATGCTGTGTTACAAAAATGTTTGATAAGCATACACAGTTCACATATCGTCTCGTCTCGGAGCCATTAGTCTACCGTTATCAACCTAAGCACGATATGGCATATATACGTTACCGTTTCAAACATCAAAATAGAGTTTATACTTCATCACTCATACGGTTTATAAGTTTATATATTTACTTCTTCCTTCTACAGACAGCGTCAATGCTTGACAGTCTTCACATGTGCTTTCTCGAATCATATGTGTTTCACACGCGTAACACTCCCCAGACCGCAATCCGAGTTGCTAAAACGCTCAAACCTAGTGCACAAATTTCACCACCACAACACTCGTAGAATGCACCGGAGATAAACATTTCGTTTTCAGCAATTATTTAAAGTATGGATTATTATTTGGAGAAGAGTATCAGAAGACTTTATGTAACCCACAGGTGAGTGTCAGAGATTCTACTTTCTATTTACGATAACGAAACTATATAGCGGAAGCATGCAATACTTCCTCTGGTTCTCCTACAAGAGGAGGGAACTACTACTATTACTACTACTGAATTAGGCGCACGCACCCCGAACGTTAGTGGATCCGTCATTTCGTTCTCTGGACAGAATTAATAAGCCGCTCGGCTCTCGCCAAGAGCGGCTTAAAAAACATGTTAAGGATGAAATAATCAAAACATAGGCAACTACAGTGTTCTGAGTGTAAAAATTCAGTGGGGCTCGTACGGGATTAGTCTGAGTGTAAAAATTCAGTGGGGCTCTTACAGGATTAGTCTGAGTGTAAAAATTCAGTGGGGCTCGTACGGGATTAGTCTGAGTGTAAAAATTCAGAGGGGCTCGTACAGAATTAGAACTCTGAATTTCAGATTGTTATACTATCACTCTAACTGACAGAGCTACCTGGTCAACGAAAGTGTCCTGGACCAACTGTTCCAAAACGCTATAAAAGGGAGGTCACTGTATATACGATGAGACATGGATCTGTAACATACCGGTATGTTAACCACCTAGCACTCGTATAGCCGGGATTTAAAAAAACAAACAATACTTTTTAGGAAAATTAATGATAATGTGGCTAGCTTTGTTTCTGGTTTTGAATCATTTCTTGTACATACCCGGATCCTTGGATAAACTGACGCTGTCGGATACTTGTGTCGTTAAGTGACCACAAAATGATACTGCCCTGTTCATCAGAACTTATCAGTGTGTTTCTTTCCGAGGCAAGGTCACATACAGGATATTTGTGACCTAAAATTGACAATAACAAACATTCGCTTTGGAAAAGCACAACATTGCACTCGATGTATGAACAAGTACAACATTTACAGGATTACTGAACAATATTACAAAATTGAATATTACAAAATTGAATCGATACAGTGTAATGACAAACTTAAAAAAGGTTTACAAACAAATTGACTTAATTTGTATTAAGGTTAGAAGTAGTAACTAGAGATTTTCATACGTAATTTCAAATCTAAACCTAGCTAACATTTTTGTTTATGAATTTTAAAGGAATATGTCTGAAACTCACTCGGAATGGAGTCGAAATACATAGGTAGGAAAAGCCTCGAGTTTTATCCTTTAAAAACATTCATGTGATCTGTGTGCACGGATCTTTACAAACTCACCTGTCAAACTTTCCTTCATGTTTATGTTAGGTCCCTTTTGTGGAATATCAAAAACTGCTATTTCTCCCAATTGTGTTCCTAAAAAAAAAGGTTATTAATGATTACGTAATTATTACAACACTGCAGGATGTTCACTGCAAACGAGGTACATTAGTTTACCAAATGTTGGTACATGTGATAAGAAAATGTCCAATTGTATGTTGAGTTTCAACACATGAACAAGACACTGACTTTGACACAGGTTTTACAGTAAAACAAGAAAATGTCGGCCTGAATTAACGTAGATTGTCGATGTGGTTATGGTGGAGCCCTGAACAGTACAGAAACAAGTCGGACCAGCTTCAACAGACGGTCCCCAAACAGTGACGGTTGGTTATCATGTTTATCTAACCCAAGTTAGTTAATTTTCAAATTGTATGAAGACACAAGGTTTACCAAGTTGGCGAACCTTTTCCCCCACAATCTTCAGATATCGTTGTCACTTTTGGGATTAATTCCTGTTTCTGATCGGGGAAACAATTGCTATGAACAATGACATCACAATGGATGATGACATCACAATGGATGATGACATCACAATGAACAATGACATCACAATGGATGATGACATCACGATGGATGATGACATCACAATGGATGATGACATCACAATGGATGATGACATCACAAAGCATTGTTATACTGTATTGAAATCATTATTGAAATAACGCCCAGGATGTTACTAGTGTTCGGCCAATTCTCGATTTTTTTATTCGATGATTGATTATTTGACGTCTTGCTAGCGACCATCCATTATGAATAATCGATTATTACAAGTGAAGTAAATCCTTAAAGATTAACCAAATTGATCTGTTTTAAAAGGAATGATTACATCTGGAGTGGTTTAAAATGTAAGCGTGTCAAATACAGTTCAAAACTAAAACTGTACACTTGATCGGTAGGGATGAGTATTCGGGATCGGTAGGGATGAGTATTCATGATCGGTAGGGATGAGTATTCTGGATCGGTAGGGATGAGTATTCATGATCGGTAGGGATGAATATTCTGGATCGGTAGGGATGAGTATTCATGATCGGTATGGATGAGTATTCATGATGGGTAGGGATGAGTATTCATGATCGGTAGGGAAGAGTATTCATGATCGGTAGGGATGAGTATTCGGGATCGGTCGGGATGAGTATTCGGGATTATTGGTAGGGATGAGTATTCATGATCGGTAGGGATGAGTATTCATGATCGGTAGGGATGAGTATTCATGATCGGTAGGGATGAGTATTCGGGATCGGTCGGGATGAGTATTCGGGATTATTGGTAGGGATGAGTATTCATGATCGGTAGGGATGAGTATTCATGATTGGTAGGGATGAGTATTCATGATCGGTAGGGATGAGTATTCGGAATCAAAAATCCTTTGAGTTATGTCAAATGGTGATACCCACCCATGATTGTGCAAAGTTTTATCAAAACAACATGTCGACCTAAAGTCTAGGTAGAACAATAATACAAATTCATTAACTCCAAATCAGATTGAATATTGAGAGACAGATCTCACACAGTCACTCCTGTATTGAAAGACAGATCTCACACAGTCACTCCTGTATTGAGACACAGATCTCACACAGTCACTCCTGTATTGAGACACAGATCTCACAGTCACTCCTGTATTGAGAGACAGGTCTCACACAGTCACTCCTGTATTGAGAGACATATCTCACAGTCACTCCTGTATTGAGAGACAGATCTCACACAGTCACTCCTGTATTGAGAGACAGGTCTCACACAGTCCCTCCTGTATTGAGAGACATATCTCACAGTCACTCCTGTATTGAGAGACAGGTATCACACAGTCACTCCTGTATTGAGAGACAGATCTCATACAGTCACTCCTGTATTGAGAGAAAGATCTCATACAGTCACTCCTGTATTGAGACACAGATCTCACAGTCACTCCTGTATTGAGAGACAGGTCTCACACAGTCCCTCCTGTATTGAGAGACAGATCTCACACAGTCATTTCTGTATTGAGAGACAGATCTCACACAGTCAGTCCTGTATTGAGAGACAGATCTCACACAGTCACTCCTGTATTGAGAGACCACCTTAGGGAAGTCTGCTCCCTTCTTGTAGATGGTCTCCTAACATAGGTTAGTACACAGGAAAAGAATGCAATGGGGAATTTTAAAAGTGGTCTCGTTGTAAAAGAAAAAAGTTTATATATATTTGGGTGCCTCGGTAGCCGTGGTCACTAACGCGCACAGTCATTGTACTACTGTATGCAATCAAGTGTGAACTTCAGACCACTCACTCTCCCAAGAACTTCGGTTCGATCTCCAGCGGTGGCGGAAAAAGAGAGTGATGTCTGATAGGGTTAGTTGTTATCCCTCCAATGGCACGTGGTTTTCCTCCGCCACAAAAACTTCATTTGTTCCCTGTATGAGTGGCGTCGTAATAAAAGCTCTTCAGAGCTTTTGTTTGTTGTTGACAATGTACACAACGTTAAATAGATAATTATTTATTTTTATTACATTATATTTCTATTACAGTCACTGACTTACCTACACACAGGAAATTGTCCCCTACACATGAAATTCCTCTTCCAAAATTACCATACTCTTAAAAAAAGATAAGAATGGATTTAGACAATATTTATGATAAAAGGCTTTGTTCACTTTAGATATGAGCACTTACATAAACAAGAGGCCAAGAGGGCCTGTATCGCTCATCTGGATATTTAAGCAATCATGGCAAAATATTCTCATTAAATAGTGTATTGCAATTATTTCCAAATAATGGTTGTCTCTCAGCACCACCCTTACTTTATTGGGTCCCATATGCGTCCCTCCATCCCCATTGGTATATATATATGCGTGTGGTGGTGGTTGGGGATGGGGGCATGGAGGCGCACCTATTGTTTATACAAAATTGAATCCTTTTGGCCAGATTAATACTCCTATCAAATTTGGTTTAGTTCCCTTCTTCTCTATGGAATGAACAGGATTGTAAGATTTACCTCTATTTGTCTTAATGGGCCATGCCCCTCTGCCCACCCCCCTCCCTCCATACCCTCCATTCAAACAAAATTGATTTCCAGTCGCCCAAAGATGCTATACACCGAAGTTGGTTAAAATTCTTCGATTTATACAGAAGAAGTAGGTATTTAAAACATTATCACAATGTTTGGCCCCACTCCTCTGCCCAACCCCCTAGATCAAAAGTCATGTAAATTAAATGGCCTTTCTATCATTGGGAATGGTATCATGCATACCGTATTTATCTGACATGCCTGGTAATAAGCCCACCTTTATCTACAGCAGTAAGTAAAATTGCCCCGGATGCTATTTTGATGTCCTGTATTAAGTCAATCCCTCTAATCTGAGTCACAAATGTTGTTTGTTTTGTCTTGTAATAAGTCGATCCCTCTAATCTGAGTCACAAATGCTATTTTGATGTCCTGTAATAAGCCCATCTCCCTAATCTGAGTCACCAATGCTATTTTGATGTCCTGTAATAAGCCCATCTCCCTAATCTGAGTCACCAATGCTATTATGATGTCCTTTAGTAAGCCTGTGATCTCCCTAATTTGAGTAGGAGGATAATTGTTGGTCCCTGGGCTTACTGTAGGATAAATGTGATACATTTAGTTTATAACGTTAATGCCTTACCTGACGCCTCAGAGCTGTGAACATTGCCCAAGGCATGGAAATAGATCATGGCCGATCCATCATATTCGTATATCTACAATGTCAATACATACATTTTATTATGAAATCTTCCTGATTTAAAGTGTTTAGCCTTTAAATAGCATGTGATATAATTCCATCTATATTTAGATATACGTTTATATAATGTTTCAAATCAATCGTACCTGACGGTGCATAAATGTACGAATACGGTCACTGCCATATTATATGTATACAGTAAATCGGAAAACCTTCGCCAAGTCGAATATTTGCCTTTCCCCATTAAAGTCCATGTTCACCCAATTTGATCATTTTACCCTTCTCACTATAGATTTGTATGCTGCTCATTTACATTTCCTTCATGATAAATTCGCCGCCATTGCAGAGGACAAAAATGGTGAATGCATGTTTAACTGCGGCAAAACCTTCCCGATATTTATATGTATAAGGTCCATGCTAAGTTTAAACACAGACAAAAAAAACAATTCTAAACAAATTAAAAGCGTTGTTATTTGTATCAACTCATTCAACCCTGCAATTTCATAATAAACTATTCCAACCTTTGAATTGGAAGAATTCAAAAGTGTCTTCAGGGGTGAATGGGTTAATTTCTGTCTCATTTACCCCTTGTTTTTATGCATACAAGGTCTGGTATAACAAATGACTGGCCAGGTAAGGGATCATTGGGTGTACATAGCCTGGTGTAATTATAGAAATGTCTACCAATTATTTTTACAATGACTTACCGAAAAGCTGCCTTTTCAATTTTAATCTGCACTGATAGCAAACAAATCTTAATGGATAATAAAATGTCAGGTTGATACCCAGGTCTCTTAAATTTTGTGATATTCTTATTGACTCTTATATATAGAGCAGTTTTTGTCACTTTTATAACTTTGGCTTTTGGCTTTGGAATTGACAACATTATATGTCGCAGTGTAGCAGTAATCCAAATTGGGAACTTTACAGGACCGTTGTTAAAGGTTTGCTTGTTTTCCAAAGAATCATCTAAAGACGAAAGCATCCTCATTCCTGAAAGATGATTTAATTCTCAAAGGTACATGGTCACCTGAATACAAGGTAAACAAGAGGCCCAAGGGCCTTAGCGGTCACCTGAGTTATATCATAGATACTGGTAGCTTTATTTTATTGTTTAGATGTGATGTGGAAATCAGCATGTAAACTAAGTGAAATACAATACTTGTCATGTCATCAATGGATAAGAATTTGAAAATATTGGTAAATGTTCCCTTTGGGGCCCCGCCCTAGCCCCTGGGGATGGGGCAGGAATCCTAATTTTACAAAGTAAAACTCTCATTTACCCAAGATGATTCTGACTAAGTTTGAGCAATTTTCTGCTGAAAATATATAAAATATATACCGAAAAGTGTTATTTCCCTATATAAACTATATTAAACGTTAACCCCTCCCCAAGGGAGAACGGATAGCTCGGGGTCCTGATATTTTCAATTTAAATAAAGCCCCTGATGATCTTTCTTTCCACGTAAAGAAAATCACTGTAGTACCTCTGAGTCTGGAGAAGAAGATTTTTGAAATATTGATTAATTTTCCCTTTGGGGCCCCGCCCTGGCCCCAGGGGTCGGGGTAGGAATCTCAATTTTACAATTTGAAACCATCTACCTCCAAGGATAATTCTCACCAAGTAAAAATAATTTCCTACAGAAAGTTGTCAAAATATACCCAAAAGTGTTATTTCCCTATATAAACTATAGTAAACTTTACCCCCTCCCCAAGGGAGAACGGATAGCTCGGGGGTCCTGAAATTTACAATTTAAGTAAAGCCCCTGATGATCTTTCTTTCCACGTAGAGAAAATCACTGTAGTACCTCTGAGTCTGGAGAAGAAGATTTTTGAAATATTGATTAATTTTCCCTTTGGGGCCCCGCCCTGGCCCCAGGGGTCGGGGTAGGAATCTCAATTTTACAATTTGAAACCATCTACCTCCAAGGATAATTCTCACCAAGTAAAAATAATTTCCTACAGAAAGTTGTCAAAATATACCCAAAAGTGTTATTTCCCTATATAAACTATAGTAAACTTTACCCCCTCCCCAAGGGAGAACGGATAGCTCGGGGGTCCTGAAATTTACAATTTAAGTAAAGCCCCTGATGATCTTTCTTTCCACGTAGAGAAAATCACTGTAGTACCTCTGAGTCTGGAGAAGAAGATTTTTGAAATATTGATTAATTTTCCCTTTGGGGCCCCGCCCTGGCCCCAGGGGTCGGGGTAGGAATCTCAATTTTACAATTTGAAACCATCTACCTCCAAGGATAATTCTCACCAAGTAAAAATAATTTCCTACAGAAAGTTGTCAAAATATACCCAAAAGTGTTATTTCCCTATATAAACTATAGTAAACTTTACCCCCTCCCCAAGGGAGAACGGATAGCTCGGGGGTCCTGAAATTTACAATTTAAGTAAAGCCCCTGATGATCTTTCTTTCCACGTAGAGAAAATCACTGTAGTACCTCTGAGTCTGGAGAAGAAGATTTTTGAAATATTGATTAATTTTCCCTTTGGGGCCCCGCCCTGGCCCCAGGGGTCGGGGTAGGAATCTCAATTTTACAATTTGAAACCATCTACCTCCAAGGATAATTCTCACCAAGTAAAAATAATTTCCTACAGAAAGTTGTCAAAATATACCCAAAAGTGTTATTTCCCTATATAAACTATAGTAAACTTTACCCCCTCCCCAAGGGAGAACGGATAGCTCGGGGGTCCTGAAATTTACAATTTAAGTAAAGCGCCTGATGATCTTTCTTTCCACGTAGAGAAAATCACTGTAGTACCTGTGAGTCTGGAGAAGAAGATTTTTGAAATATTGGATAATTTTCCCTTTGGGGCCCCCCCCTGGCCCCAGGGGTGGGGGTAGGAATCCCAATTTTACAATTTTGAAGCCTCATCTACCAAGGATGATTCTGACCAAGTTTAAAAAAATCCATCCACTGGTTCTTGAGAAGAAGTTGAAAATGTAAAAGTTTACGCACGACGGACGACGGACGACGACGGACGAAAAGCGATTGGAATAGGTCACTTGAGCAAAGCTCAGGTGACCTAAAAACATAAATTTACATTTTGAATTTATATTTTTTCAATTACCACGATAAGAGAATTTTTTGAGAAAAGGGGGAAAAATAGCATTAGAGTACCATCATTCCAATTGGCCCCAAAACACTATTTATAATCTGTGTTATCCATAAATTTCTTAATAATTGACTATTTACATTCAGTAAATTAGATGTGACATTAGAAGACTTACCTGTATACCCCGGAGTGTTGTTAGCACCAGTACAGTCCTCACCGGCAACTGTATCCACTTACACTGAAAAACACAATGTCAAGGTCAATAGGCTATTTGGCCCGTTATCTTGACCTGACCTTTTTAACTCACAGGGTTTATTTAGCATACCAGAAAGCTACCAGCCAAATATCACTACTGTAGGCCTTTCCCTTCTTCTTCAGAAGATTTTTTTTTTTAGATATTTGACCCCTGTGACCATGAAAGCAGGCCAAGGTCACTTTCATTCAAATTATTTTGCTATGCTCCATCCCAGAAAGCTACCAGCTAAATATCCTAACTCAAGGCCTTTTGGTTCTTCAGAAGAAGTCATTTGAGGTTTTTGACAGTTATGACCAATGTGATCCTGAAAGTAGGTCAAGGTAATTTTAGTTCATCAACTTTGTTGGGCTACATCCCCAGAAGCTACCAGCCATTATCATGACTCTAAGCTTTTTGGTTCTTCAGAAGATGTTATTAAAAAGGATCATGGGCGGATTGATCGAGTGGTTAACACTCCGGCCTTACAAGCAGGCGGCTGGGGTTCGATCCCCGAAGTCGTTGTATGCATGGATAATCAGAGAAAGTGTTTTTCTCCTGCCCACACAACTCCAACAATCCAGGTGGAGTATAAAATTATATGGGGTGGGTGTTGCGGTATCTGTGCTGTAGCATTCAAGTGAGGTGGCACTATAAATGATACCGTTGGAAGCACGGTCTCACTACAAACAAAACACAATACATCTCCAGCACACACACATAGGGAGATATTAGCCAGGTGGCATAGGACGAGTAGTTAGCGCCTGATAAGGCAACTCCTGCGAATTCCTCAATATTGTATTGATTAATATATATGCTAATTGTATTGACTGTATAAAATTGTATATCTATGCACTGTACATGTAAAGCGCTTTAGAGTGGCTTATGTTAGCTAGATAGGGCACTATATCAAATGTTGTATATTTAATCTAAATTTAAAGTTATTGGCATATTTGACGAATGTGACGTTGAATAGTGGGTCAAGGTCATTTTCATTAACACATTTTTTGGAATTCATCCCAGAAAGCTTCCAACCTATGTCCCAAAGAAAAACCTTAATTCAAATTAAAGCTCCAACAAACTCTATAACAAAATCCATATCCTTGGGTCAAATAATATCCCAGTTGCTTATTAAGGGGGTGTACAATGAACACAGCCATCTTGAAAAATAATAATAATCAAAGCTTTATAGCGTTAACAAATAAATAGAGCAAATTAACGCAGACACATTTACATACTTTCTCCTTCATTGAGACTTAGAATGGGCTATCATATAGGTAGACACCAATATGGAAGAGACTGACAGTTTTCTTTTAAGTCTCAATTAAGAACAGGATGGTGGAAAATATAAGGAGGTGTTGTACACAGTGTGTGTACCCTGGCTGTGTGTGTTTATATGTTACACAGCATGTGTACCCTGGCTGTGTGTGTTTATATGTTACACAGCGTGTGTACCCTGGCTGTGTGTGTTATATGCTACACAGCGTGTGTACCCTGGCTGTGTGTATGTGTTTATATGTTACACAGTGTGTGTACCCTGGCTGTGTGTGTTTATATGTTACACAGTGTGTGTACCCTGGCTGTGTGTGTTTATATGTTACACAGCGTGTGTACCCTGTGTGTGTTTATATATGTTACACAGCGTGTGTACCCTGTGTGTGTTTATATGTTACACAGCGTGTGTACCCTGTGTGTGT